TGTCTCTGCTGTAGATTTACTTCAAGTGGACCTTAACAGGTGGAAACGTTGTTACTTGTTTTATGTTTTTAATACATGTATCAGCTGTCTCTGCTGTAGATTTACTTCAAGTGGACCTTAACAGCTAGAAACGTTGTTACTTGTTTTATACATAAAGCAATTGTTTAGATAACAATGTTCAGTTGCTATATACATAAAGCAACTGCTTAGATAACAATGTTCAGTTGCTATATACATAAAGCAACTGTTTAGATAACAATGTCCAGTTATTATATATATAAAACAACTGTTTAGATAACAATGTTCAGTTGCTATATACATAAAGCAACTGTTTAGATAACAATATCCAGTTATTATATATATAAAACAACTGTTTAGATAACAATGTTCATTTATTATATGTATAAAGCAACTGTTTAGATAACAATGTTCAGTTATTATATACATAAAGCAACTGTTTAGATAACAATATCTAGTTATTATATTATTGTTATCTAAACAGTTGCTTTATGTGTTCAGTGCTATATATATAGCAACTGAGCATTGTTATCTGAACAGTTGCTTTATGTATTGTTATCTAAACAGTTGCTTTATGTGTTCATATTTTATATGCATAAAGCAACTGTTTAGATAACAATGTTCAGTTGATATATACATAAAGCAACTGTTTAGATAACAATGTCTAGTTATTATATACATAAAGCAACTGTTTGGTAACAATGCTCAGTTGCTATATACATAAAGCAACTGTTTAGATAACAATGTTCAGTTGCTATATACATAAATCAACTGTTTAGATAACAATGTCCAGTTATTATATACATAAAGCAACTGTTTAGATAACAACGTTCATATTTTATATGCATAAAGCAACTGTTTAGATAACAATGTTCAGTTGATATATACATAAAGCAACTGTTTAGATAAAAATGTTCAGTTGCTATATACATAAAACAACTGTTTAGATAACAACGCTCATATTTTATATGCATAAAGCAACTGTTTAGATAACAATGTTCAGTTGCTATATACATAAAGCAACTGTTTAGATAACAATGTTTAGTTGCTATATACATAAAGCAACTGTTTAGATAACAATGTCTAGTTATTATATACATAAAGCAACTGTTTAGATAACAATGTCCAGTTATTATATATATAAAGAACTGTTAGATAACAATGTTCAGGTTATATATATATATACATAAAGCAACTGTTTAGATAACAATGTCCAGTTGCTATATACATAAAGCAACTGTTTAGATAACAATGTTCAGTTGCTATATACATAAAGCAACTGTTTAGATAACAATGTTCAGTGCTATATACATAAAGCAACTGTTCAGATAACAATGCTCAGTTTCTATATACATAAAGCAACTGTTTAGATAACCAATGTTCAGTGCTATATACATAAAGCAACTGTTTAGATAACAATGTTCAGTGCTATATAAATAAAGCAACTTTTTAGATAACAACGTTCAGGTTTTATATGTATAAAGCAACTGTTTAGATAATGTTCAGTTGCTATATACATAAAGCAACTGTTTAGATAACAATGTCTAGTTATTATATACATAAAGCAACTGTTTAGATAACAATGTTCAGTTGCTATATACATAAAGCAACTGTTTAGATAACAATGTCCAGTTGTTATATATATAAAGAACTGTTAGATAACAATGTTCAGGTTATATATATATATACATAAAGCAACTGTTTAGATAACAATTTTGAGGTTTCATATGTACAAAACAAGTGGGCTAAGTATAGCTTGCTAATTAGGGTCTCGAATTTGAATTTCCCATTACTGAACATGCTCGTTCGATCTCCCCAAGAAAAGAACAAAAAACTATAGCTACAGTAAGATAACCAGAAGTATTCATTTATAAATGGCCTAGATTAATCTCGTGAAGGGTGACATGTTTTTTAGCTATGAGATTTCACTTATAGGTCTGGTTCCATATTTGCAGGAAGGGAAGAGTGGGTAGAGGTTGGATGGTGCAGGTCTTTAAAAAAAAGGAAGAAGTGGTTTATGTTACCTATCAACCATCCTCATCCTATTGATGTGTATGTTTACTGTAGAAAACTAGATCAGTTACGCAGACAACAAACAACTTACGACATAGTTTTAATGACGTCATGAACTGTGGTTTGACGTCGGCACGTTCAAGGTCCAATCTGCACCCCTTGGCTAATCGGGGTTATTCATACTCTGGTTCTGTGAAGTCCGTATCGTGCTGGTCTTTTTTCTAGCCGGCATGGTATCAGTTTGGATTATAAAACAGACAACCAGAGCATAAACAGTAGAGCCGTTCTGTAGTAGAGTTGATCAAGTCGTTTCGAGAATGTCATCATGATCATGTGGAGGACGTGATAGATCAGAAACATGTTCAACATCAAAATAAAAGCTTTTGTTGAAAAAGTTTGACAGTAGAGGTATTTCTATACTATAGGAAAGATATGGTCTGTCCAGTGTTTCTTTGTCTTCTTCTGCTATCGGGTAAGAGTCAAACATACTGTTATATTACTTTACCAAATCTGAAACTAACATAAACCTTTTCGTATAGTTAATTTATAGAATATTCATATATGTATTTAATGTAACACTTCAGGGCAACTGAACACATGAATGTGGTATAACACTTCATGGTAACTGGTTACTTGGATGTAACACTTCATGGTAACTGGTTACTTGGATGTAACACTTCATGATAACTGGTTACTTAAATGTGATGTAGTGCATCATGGTAACTGGTTACATAAATGTGATGTTACACTTCACGGTAATGGATACATGAATGTGATGTAGCACCTCATGGTAACTGGTTACATAAATGTGATGTAGTGCAGCGTGGTAACTGATTACATGGATGTGATGTAACATTTCATGATAACTGGTTACATGAATGTGATGTAACACTTCATGTTAACTGGTTACATGAATGTAATGTAACACTTCATGGTAACTGGTTACATTAATGTAATGTAACATTTCATGGTAACTGAACACATGAATGTGGTGTAACACTTCATGGTAACTGGTTACTTAAATGTGATGTAGTACAGCATGGTAAATGGTTACATAAATGTAATGTAGTGCAGCATAGTAACTGGTTACATAAATGTGATGTAACTCTTATGGTAACTGGTTACATGAATGTGATGCAAAACTTCATGGTAGCTGGTTACATGAATGTGATGTAAAACTTAATGGTACTGGTTACATTAATGTGATGTAACACTTCATGGTAACTGGTTACATTAATGTGATGTAAAACTTCATGGTAACTGATCACATTAATGTGTTGTAACACTTCATAGTAACTGGTTACATTAATTTGTACGACGTCTGTTAAGTGTAACTGGCCATCCGATCTGATGCAGTCTGTACAAAGTCTGTTAAGTGTAACTGGCCATCAGATTTGATGCAATTGGTTAGGAAACAACTTAAGAAAGGTTTTAAGATATTTTAATGAAACTGGGTCATATCTATAAATATTATGTTGTCAAGAAATTAATGTCGCGTTTTGTAACACTTTCATTACCCTCCCCCCCAAAAAAAAGCAACGTACATCACGTATAATAGTTAAACGAACCGCTTGTACTTCACGTAAGTGTAGCCTATATAATGTGTAAAGTTTAGTATACTGTAATCCCTTATAGTGATGGCACACGACGAGACACACATTCGGCGTGTAATGCTGTTTGAATACAAGAAGAGAAACAATGCCTCTATAACCACAAAGAATATCAAAGACGTTTATGTAAATGTTCTGAACGTTCATAAGTGTTAACGATGATTCAGCAAATTTCGTTCAGGTGACTTTAGCCTTAAAACTGTGATGACAGGGGCCGACATGTTGGAATTGATATTGATGCTCTGAAGACGCTTGTTGAATAGTAAACGCCAAAAACAATGGCTCAGTCCTAGACAAAAACCGCTTCCGACCCCCAAACCTGGACTCCATCCGCATTTGGTGGGACATCAAAGGAATAATTCATTTCGAACTCATCACTCCACAGCGAACTGTCAATGCAGAAATCTACAGTCAGCAACTGGAACGTTTAAATCAAGCCCTTCATCAGAAACACCCTTCACTCTTCAATCGGAAAGGTGTTCTTCTTCTCCACGACAATGTATCCACATGTGGCACGTTTGACGCAACACAGAACTATGGAGTTGAGTTGGGAAGTTCTCCCCCACTCACCATATTCTCCAGATATGACACCATCAGATTACCATCTTTTTCGTTCGCTGCAACACCATCTTAATGGGAAAACGCATGCAAATATGAAAGGCGTTAAAGAGAACATCGACATGTTTTTTTGCTCCAAAGCCAAATATTTTCTTTAATCAGGACATTAACAACCTGATTGTAAGATGGAAAAGCATAATCGATAAGAATGGAGACTATTTCATTTAATAAGTGATTTGTTTTGATATATAAGTTGTTCGGGTTTTTTCATTAAAAAAAGCGACATTAATTTCTTGACGACCTAATACAATAACAACGTTTGCTGATTAAGTACAGGTTTTACCAGTCTTAGTCTTCCACTACTTATCATTTTAAAATATTGATAAATTAAAATAATAATTACGAGATTTTGACTTTCCAGCATCAACAACAAGCGACTTGTCGTACACGTGGACACGTGATGTTGTAGTGGCAGCAGAGCCAAGTGATTTTCAAATATGGACAGCCATTGATATTTCGCTTGCTAGGAGGCGGGAGCTAAGGAGAAGAAAAGAAATGTATCATTCGCACGTTCAAAAGAGGGAAGAAAAAGTCGTCTGTTACACACGGTTCATTTGGTGTTTTCGTGACGAAGGCCCCTTTGAATACTGGGATACACTCCCGGAAAGCCCGGAAATAATCGAGACAACTTTCAACTTATATACGAGGCATAACCTTCTGGAAGGTGACTCCCTTCACTATGATAATAACTCGTCTTTGAATGTCTCTCATTTTAATGCTAGTAATCCGGTGAAAATAATAATCCATGGTTTTGGAGGAAGCGCCGCCAACGCTTGGGTAGGACAGATGGTTGAAGCTATGTTGGAGACTGTAAGTATGTATGAAATATTTGGAGGAACTAGAAAAGTTTCCACAAATAATTATTTGTTCCGAGAGAAGTCGCTACGTTACTTTTACTGTGCTTTTATTTAATGTTGTAAAAATGTAAAACTACTTAATTAAAAACTACTTTTTTTCAGTAATAGAAATAATTAAAAACTTCCAAATATGGTAGTATAAAATTGGCTTGTTCTGGATTAATAAGATTTGTTGTGTAGTAACGTGGACCTAGCTTACCCTGGATTATTAAGTTTGTTGTTTACTAGCAGGAAAAATATCATGATAGACCAATCGTCTGAGTGAACTTCTTTCTGATCCCCTCAGGTTATTTTGTTTTGTTGTCGCACGACTTACGTAATTTGTTTTACTTTAAGGCTATTCCGAATTAGGTTTAACTATCATACTTTTACCTTACCACCATCAGACTACTCTGAATTAGGCCTATCTATTAGACTTTTACCTTACCACCATCAGACTACTCTGAATTAGGCCTAACTATCATACTTTTACCTTAACACCATCAGACTACTCTGAATTAGGCCTATCTATTAGACTCTTACCTTACCACCATCAGACTACTCTGAATTAGGCCTAACTATCATACTTTTACCTTACCAACATCAGACTACTCTGAATTAGACCTATCTATTAGACTTTTACCTTACCACCAGTAGGTTACTCTGAATTAGGCCTAACTATCATACTTTTACCTTAACACCAGTCAGGTTACTCTGAATTAGGCCTAACTATCATACTTTTACCTTACCACCAGTAGGTTACTCTGAATTAGGCCTATCTATTATACTTTTACCTTACCACCATCAGGCTACTCTGAAGTAGGCCTAACTATCATATTTTTACCCTACCATCATCAGGCTGACGTAAACGTTATTGTTGTGGACTGGAACAAAGGTGCGAAGCTACCCAACTACATGCAGGCAGCAGCAAATTCTCGTCTAGTAGGAAAAGAAATAGCAGAGTTAATACGATTGATCAACTACGAGCGAGGAACAGCGAATGAAGACTATCATTTAATTGGCTACTCGCTGGGTGCGCATATAGCGGGCTTCGTTGGAACAGAGATGAAGAATTTGAGCCGTATAACAGGTAAATGTCGCTCCTCCAGCAGTATAGTTTTCTAAATTATTTCAGAATTGATTCTTCAAATCTTTGTTAAAGTTTATTTACGATTCTGAATTAAATCGAAATTTCATTCGTCTTAAACTACAAATTCAGAGAGAAAAGCACAGTCCTGTAATTTGTGAAGGTGACAATAAGTTAATGTTTCATGTCCAAAACTACCGAAAATTATCATCGAAAGCGTTCGTTAGGAGTGAGGGAATCTAGTTAAAATCGTGTTATGCATCTGCTTGTTTGTTAATTTCCGGTAGAATTTCTTTCCGAGGAACTTCAGCGATACAAGACCTTCTTGATTAAACCAGTTTATTATTTCTCGATACAAACTTTTAGTACACAGTAATTCCACTGTCAGTACGTTTCTGGTCACTTTAAACATAACAACTGTTACGTCTCTGTTCGCTTGTTAATTTCCGGTATAAATTCTTCCCGAGAAACTTTAGCGATACAAGTCCTTTCTTAATTAAAACTAGTTTATTATTTATCGATACAACTTTATAATACACAGAATTTCCACAGTCACTTTAACTTAAAC